CATCCAGCTGCGTAGCTCTCTCTGGACGTGAGCAGGCTTGACTGAGAGACATTTTTTTTGGAGGAGAATGGTGTGCAGCTTGTCGGTGAACGTCCATAGGTTCCAACAGTAGCTCACGATTTACTAGCCAGAATTCTTGTTGTGGCGCACTGTGGTGCACAGGGCCATCGTGACCACGAATCGATGTTCCTTTCGCTGAATTCCCGATTCTATATTACCAAGCTGGAGGATAATCTGCAAATTGCGTCCGCGGTTGTCTGCTGTTCAAGTATTTTAAATATCCTCGACTCATTCCTCGACCGTATGGACCGCTACTCACACCTACGGAACGAAAGGAGTTCGTCCACTAGGACTTCCTCTTCCTTCGAGATGGCTATGGTGACTCGTATTACCTTCTCGTGATCAAGGACGGGATATGGCACTTCTGCAAGCTGTTTCCGTGCCCTACACCGTCGGCCTAACTGGCTTGCTAACGTGGTATTCCCGGGATGATCTGCCTCATACGTTGCTGTTAGACCAAGGATCCAACGAGATGACAGCACTTGACCACACAGTTGAAGGTGGAAAATACAAGGAGTTAATGAGTTTCTTTGTTTGCAATTTCATTTATTAATAAGTAAATCTTCTCTCTTCGGAAAACAACTATCCAGCGATCCGCGACACTTTGGTACGTGCTTCCCGGAATCAATTCAACTGTATCCCGCTGGTGTACGCCTGATTGTAGATTCTTCGCTTGAGTTATGATAGCTATGTCCGCTTGGGCAAAGGTAATCACATAGAGGCCCTCAAATTTGGATATTCCGGTAGAGCGCGGTAATGATGGAAGCACGTTCTTCGATCCGATCGGAGAGGCGTTCAACTAGCGTCTCCACATCCAGCGCTAGTGTCACTGTGGGCTTCATCGTGAGCTACCACAGAGTCATTCTCTGTTGCTGTGGAGGTGTCTGCGAGCGCAGCGAGCTCCTCCATCGTGGCCTCTTACCACTGATACACCTCGAAATTTAGAGATTTGACAAAATCCCCTCTCCTGAAAAAAATCACTTAAGTTCGAAAAAAGAAGGGTCCAGTTTAAAGGCGATTATCTCAAAAACTCAAAAATGTTTACTAGCATCCGTTTATTTTGCGGGGCCTCTTTTTCTTATATAACGAACGCAAACATTCCACCAGAACTAACAATACTGGCCCTAGGGTGTGAGAACGATAGGTAAGAAAGAATTACTCGCTGCTTGCGATGTTCCGAGACCAGTATCTTGGCGAACTGGAACATCTCAGCATGAACATTGGTCTAGTTGGTGGTAGCTCTTTCCGCTGGCGCAGAGAACAAAATAATGAAGCAGTTCAGCAAGCACGACCTCTAAATCTTGCACCTAGGATTGGCAACCAGCGATCCACTGCAAGACGTAGAGGAAAAGACGAAATGCATCGACAACGCCATTTTCGACGTCGCGAATCTCATCCACCTGGAGATGTCAGTTGGGCCCTTGTCGTCTCGTGGGTTTTGTATGGTCACCTTCTAACGCCTACCTTGATCGTGCCATTGGGTCCCGACGGCCCAGACTCAGAGGTAGAATGCTCATGCGGTAACGAGATCCAGACAATCGACAGTGATTTTTGATGAATATTCCAGTACTGTGGCAACTAACATCAATTGAATGACGGAGCGCTTCGCGAGCTCGTCACTCGTCTTATTCAAGAGGATCCTTGCGACAAGAAGTGCTTGAAAGGGAAAGCCTTGGAGTTGGAACAGTTTATGGGTTCGCTATCGCAAATGACCAGCGGGAGAAGAAGCAGAGCATCATAACGACGTTGGCAGTACTCAAGAAGACGGATACCGTGCTGCGCCATCGGGATCATGGTCTACGTGAG